TTACTCTAACCCTTGCTTCGACGCGCTCCACGCCAGCGCCCTCGGCGACAGCGCCAACAGCTTCAACTACTCAACACCTGCTTTGTCTCAGGCCCCGTTTGTAAATTATGAAAACCCTTGACCCCTCACAATCTTTTAACTTTTAAAACCTATTTACAGACAAAACCCTACCGCGATCAATCCTTCCGAATAGAGAAACCACTGCACGCTTGCTGTGGTTCCCAGCGTTCAAGGGTTATGCACGCAAGGATTGGATGAGTGCATATTAGAACCGTTCTCTTTCTAAACATCCCCTTCCGGGTGATGCTGGGCCAATGACAAGTGCTAGCCTCCTTTTCTGACTTATCTGAACTTCACAACGATGTAGCCTTTAGGTCACTATTAAATATACAATACTTTTGGCTGGTAATTGCTCTATCAATTGACGGTACTAACTCTCCTTAGCAGCCTCCATCACTCGCTTATAGTTTTCACATCCCTAGTTGTTTCTCTTTAATCCACGAGCCCTTAAGAAAATCGCTTATAAAAAGTATTCCGTAGTTCCCCAAACCATAATATACTTTCTTCCCAGTTTTCATTAATAAACATCATTCATCACTACCATATTTAACTATTTAAATTCATTCAACACATGTTACACGAATGGATAAGTATTTTGAATTTGATTCACAAGAGTACATAATTTCATGAACGGTGATTTTGCCTAACTCGTACTCACAATTTGTCACAAAGAGTCAGTAAAAAACTGTTCTTGTGAACGAGTCAGTGCTTCCGTTCTTCACGAGGCGTGTCTGGGTTGTGCTCATTTCTCATCGCGGGTAGTTGACTATATTTTACTTGGTAAGCGAGTCATCATGAACAAGTAAAAGTGGTTGTTTGCTTTTTGAGGTTTACATTAATAGCTTAAACTCTGTTGTAAAGATTTGGAAGCTTTATGTAACAAACAATCTCCTAATAGAGTAACGCGACTAAGAAAGATAAAACGTGCGATGTAAACAAAAATAAATCGCTTGCGCTTTGCAATAAAAAAGTTTATTGGTTTACTAATTCGTGTGAAAATGATCTCAATGCAAAAAGTACATCCTTTGACATCTACAAATGACTATCGTTTCATTGGCCATGGTTTTTAGTCTCATATGTTAATATAATATAGAGTATCGATAGTTTTGTAACCTTGATCTCGTCCCTTTTTTGTCGGGCATAGGTAACACTGACTAGCAGTAGTCACATTGTACGAAATTTAAGAACTTGAACAATTCTCATTAAATTAAATTCGTAAAAATGCAGTATTTTCCTAATATACAAATGCCTAAATTCATTATTTCTGTGAGAGAAACGCCGCTAAATGGTTTTTATATGATTAACACTCGCAAGTTTGATTTCTGGAAGTGTTATTCGCAATATTGACTGTAAAACTACAGACGTTGCAGTGAGAGCTCTTGGCGATCCAGGGGGCGCCGTGATGCAGGCTGTGAAGCTGACGTTTCGGCAATCTTGTCGTGG